TTTTCTGTGTCAGGTAAGGCTGTTGGTCTCCTGACCAATTTTCTTTCTTTACACTGGCTACTGGGAAGCTCAGAACCAATTTTTTTTTTTTTTTTTTTTTTTTTTTTTTTTTGGCTCACCTCTAATAATTGAATAAGACCTCATGGAATGAATCGCTATATAGAAGCACACCCTTGGCTTCATGTTATTTTCCATTTGATCACTTTTCTTGTATTTATCTTTGTGGGCAATCTCATATCCCTACTCTCTCTCTCTCTCTCTCTCTCTCTTTTATAGGGGGCTGTAATTAAATAATAATCAAAGAGCCCAGCAGGTCCTTGGAAGCAGAGGTCAGGAAATACTGATGATTAGATGTGGTTTCTGGGAGTAAATCTGACTAAAAAGGCATGCTAATTAGTGTGATAGCAGTCCTGGCTGTGTGGCTGAGGGGGGCAGGGATTACAAGTGCGCAGCCCAGCCAGTGTTGGTGATAAATAAGGCCAGGGGAAGGTGTGAGTGGTGAGGTCACTGATGCCCATGTGGGGGCTGGGCTGCATGGAGGTCCTATGATCACTGCCTGCCTAGATACTGGAATGTAAAGGTGGGAACTCAGAAGAGAAAGCACTGCTTTAAGGGCAGGTGGAGAATAAGGCACAAAGATGAAGCATGAATGAAACCAAAGCTGCAATTAGGCAGTAAGCCATCACGTTGATTAGGAGTTTTTGGTTGTAAGTAACAAAAATGGACTCTGACAAACTTAATGGGGAGGAGGGAGAATTTGTGGATGCATTTGGAGTAGCTCACAGGATCTAAAAAATAAATCCCCCAGGTTAATAGGCTTAAAGACAGGGCCCCTCTGAAAGGTTAATGGAGCATCTCTCTAGGGCCCCACTGATGGGAGGAGGAGGCTGCAACTGTTTTCTGTTTTTCAGTCTGTCTGATGAAGATTCAGACTGTCTGGCACATACAAGGAGTTCAATACACATAGATTGAATGAATGAATGGAACTTTCATGAAGAGAACACTTAACTTGCTAAGTCTGGGTCCCACATATGCCCCTTGGGAGGAGAAGAGGAGTACTTTGGCCAAAGTTCCCATCCAAGCCACAGTCAATGGGGCGGGATGGTTCAGACACTGTGCCTGAAGAGAGGAAGAACGGAAGGGCAGGCCAACCCCAGAAGGATGCCTGATGCAGGCAGCAGAGAAATGGCTGGTGGACTAGTTGTGGCAGGGGGACATCTCCTTGTCCAGTTAGCTTGTCCCTAATATCTGGTAGGAAAAACTGTGCAAAGAGACTCCAAGGCATTGTTCCCAATCTTCTGTCTTTATTCCCACACTCAGTTAGGTGTGTCTTGCTAGTATTTATTTAAGAGTTTTGTGTGTATATTAACCAACGCAAAGGACCTATTTCCTCCTCTGAAATCCTCCTCTAGTTATTATCCCCTTAGAATGAGTTGGGGTAAGTATTCACTCTTCTTCTGTTCTCTGGAAGAGTTTGTATAAGATAGGAATTATTTACCCCTTGAAAGTCTGGTGAAAGCCTGATAAAGCCCTCTGGGCCTGTTGTTTTTCTTATGGAAAGATTTTAAATGACTGCTTCATTTCCTTATAATCATAAGACTGTACAGGCTATTTCTTTGTTTGACAATTAAGGCAAGTTTTTTTTTTTCTTCTTCTTGGAACAACCATTTCATTAAAAAATTTTAAGTAAATTAAGTAGAGCGTTTATCTCTGGAGGTTTTTGGGCTCTGTAAAGGGCTCGTGAGTATTCATTATCTTATTTAAAATCATACGAAATAGAAGAGAGCCACCCTTGGACTGATGATGGTGTGTTTTATTTTTTTTTAATTTTTTTTTCAACATTTATTTATTTTTGCGACAGAGAGAGACAGAGCATGAACGGGGGAGGGGCAGAGAGAGAGGGAGACACAGAATCGGAAACAGGCTCCAGGCTCTGAGCCATTAGCCCAGAGCCTGACGCGGGGCTCAAACTCCTGGACCGCGAGATCGTGACCTGGCTGAAGTCGGACGCTTAACCGACTGCGCCACCCAGGCGCCCCAGATGATGGTGTGTTTTAAATCAAGGATTATGATTAATCCAATTCTGTGCATTTAAGTTCCACTGAAAATGCGTATTTGTTGCAAATATGAGTGAGCCAATCTATCTTGGTGTCCAGGGGTGAATCTGGCAGGCCCCCAGTGACACTGACAAGCTTGGCTGGAAATTGTCCAGATACCCTTGACTTACATTTTTTTCCAAATCCTGATCATGGAGGAAGGTCTTGGAAGATTTTGATGCCATGGGCTGGGGTACTGGGCTGACAGCACCCCGGAATGTTAGGCCCCTATTTGTCAGGGATTAGGCAAAGGTCACAGCCAATGTCCAACAGCGTTCCTTTTCCCCATCACAGGGGTCCAAGAAGAGATACTGAAGGAGCATCCTGGGAAAGACTCTGAATTGCAATGAACTAAACAGTGAGCCGAAATTAAGGACAGCCTATGGCATGACTGGCTCCTCTGCCAGTGAAATTATTAGGTGACTTATTATATGTCTGGGTCATTACCATGCTAGCAGAATAAGTGGATTCAAATGAAAAGAATTTCTGAACAAATGTGGGAAGAAAGGCATTGTTAGCAAGTCTTTGGATGTCATGACTTGTGACAAAGTTTGGAATTAATAATGACACCATGCAAAATGGTAAAATTTTTGCCAGCAAGGAGAGGGTGGAGATGCCAGAACCTGTAAATTTATGCCAGCTGAGCACTGGCTGTGGGGGCGTGTGGCAAATGGATTTACTATTTTGCCAACTCTAGTAAAGTGTTAGAAAATTGCAACAAAATTTTTCCTATGCAAACAATTGTTTAAAAAAGGGTCTTCCCTCAAATAACTGCAATTCATGGTGCTTTCTGAGTAACCACAAACCCAGAGACTAAATTAAAAATACTAGAAATTATTTTTCTTGGAATCATGCTGAATATGAAAATGGAGATTTTCTTTCCTCCACAACGCCCTCTCTTTAATCAGGCTTTCAGTGAGCCAATATAACTTATTTATTTTTATGGGGAAAAGGTAGAGGGAAGAAGGGACAGGGACTTTTGAGAGAAGTGGGTGGGTCCAGAAATGGAGAGATGAGAAGTCACACAATTAAACTCTACCTCCTTTCTCTGTAAACAGGGATTAAGGCCGTCTGTCCTGACCCGTTCCTAGAGGGGATGCTTGCTACTTGAGAAAGCTGCACACAAAACTCTACTCTGTCCTAGAAACGCCTCATCCTTACACTTTATCAGAACGACAGGGGGAAAAATTATTTGAACTCACTCAGGGCGTTATGGATTTTTCTGGAAAACGGGGGAAAGTCAAGTTCTTTGAACATTTTCCTATCCTGAAAACCCACGTGAATTAGGTCACTTTTCAAGAGTCCTTGCACTCCTGAGATTCTATAAAACTCACTGAAGAATAATGGCGCAAACAGCAACATTTTAAATTTAGAAGAGTCCTTTGGCTGAGAGAGGCTACCCAAAATAGCACAAATGTAATTTTGCAGTAACTGTCAAACTTCCAAAAACTTCATCGGGCAGGAGGTAACAGAACACCTCCAGCAGATCCGCGCTCTGTTTACCCGCAGCCCGTGAGCTTCAAGACTCTTAGTGATTCGCTGCTGCTCAGGCAAGGCCTCCAGTAGGGTTCGATCATCTGGGCATCTAACACCCAATCACCGCTGAATTACTGGAGGCTATTATAAGTGTCCCCATTTTACGGATGCAATTGAGGGTATGGCTTAGTCGTCTCTCTTACTCGCAGGAGCGAGCGATTTTTCATCTTTTTGAAAAGAAAGCAACTCAAAATGACTTCTTACTTCCAACGACCGTGTTTCCTTTAGTCGAATCATTTGAGCTCCTCTGTAAAAGAAGCAAGGCAAGTTGTTTTGTGTTTTTTTTTTTTTTAACTGCAAACTACAACAACAAAGAGGCACTATTCCCCGACCCTCCACCACCCCGGTTCCCGAGGATGTCAGTCACCCTGGAAGCGTCACCAAGAGCGGAGGTTGGGAGAGCATTTTCGGGGGGCGTCCCGAGCGGCCCTGTCCGTAGGTGGAGTGAAGCGGGAGGCAAGACGCCCCGCCTGCACACTCCTCCCGAAAACTGATGCGTCTTCTTTGACCCGGGGGTCAGAAAGATTTATTACTTCCTCAGTGAGGGAGAAACCCCAGACCAGCTGGAACGCGTGAGCCGGGAGTAGAAAGCCTGCAAGCGGCGCTCGGCGTCCTCGGAGCGCTCCCGGGAGCGGCTGTGTCCCCGGTTCCCGGAGGAGCCGGGCGGTGCAGACGCCGAGGGAAGAGCAGAGTGGGCGGCCGCTGAGGGATTTCTGTTCAAACTTTATCACCAACTCTTTCTGAGAGCAAAAATATGCGGCTGAGCCTGGCAGCGGCAAGGAGACTCCCAAGTTTCTCAGAGCCCCCGACGCCCGATCGCTCCGAACCCCGCGCTCGCGCCCAGGCTTTATGCGCACGGATTGTTACGGCCTCTGCCGTGCGGCTGGCGGCCCGGGCTGCGTCGCCGTGAATCGAGTCCCGCATCTCCAGCCCTCAAGGCGGCGGCGGCTGGAGCCCGACTCTGGGAGGAGGGCGGGCGCGGGACGGGCGGAGGAGGAGGGCAGCGCGGCGAAGGGGAGGAGCCGCAGCGACAGACGGCGGCGCGCACCAACCCGGCGCCGGCTGGCAGGAGCCGCGCAGAGGCTGGCCCGAGCGTGTTGCAGCCGCTCCGCGTAGGGGGAGTCGGGTAGCAGCATCCTCCCGGGCGCCGCTTTCGCGCGGCGGCGGCGGCGGCAGCGGCGGGGGCTTTCTCTGCCCGGATACCTCTTTGGCCAGAACTGGTCGGTGCCCGGGGGCGGGCCGACAAGGGAGCGCTGCAGACTCGGGCCCCTTGGCCGATTGTTGTGTGTGTAGGGTCCTCCCCGGCCAGTCGGAGGCTGCGGAGCGGCGGGCGCTGCCGGCAATGCCGGCCCGGGCATCCTCCGAGTGATGGAAGAAGCAGCTGCTGCCGCTGCAGGGTCGCGCTGCGCCCCATCCACCGCCGCCAGAGAGATGGGAAGGTTCGGGGCGCGGAGGCCGAGAGCGAGAAAGGCGGAGCCGCTTTGCCGGGAGCTGGGTCCTGTATAAGCCCCCTCCCCCAGCCGGCTTCGCCCCCCAAAGCGAGGAAGGAAGCTGCGGTCTCGAGAGGGCGGCGGAGACGCCGCTGGAGCTGGGCACGCCGGGCTCAGCGGAGCGCAGAGCAGGGTTCCAGGCCCGGTGAAAGTTTCCCTTCCCAAGCCGCAGGGCGCCTGCCGCCCGGAAACTGCCCAGGGCTTGCGCTGCTGAGTCCCGCGGACCCCTCTGAGGCGCGGGGACTCCCGGGGAAGACAGAGAAACCGAGGAACGAGTGACAGCAGGACAGACCACCCGGCCGTGAACCCGGGCGGCTCTGGGGTGCGCCCGCGGCTCCAGGTGAGCGGGGGAGCCTGGCAGACCCGAGGGTGGGCGTTACTTAGGTGGAGGAGGCGGATGGGGAGGAGGATTGGGGCGCATCGGCTTACTCTGCTTCCCCTCGCAGGTCTTTCTCGGAGCCGCTGCCATGGGAGAGCCAGCTTTGGGCGTCGGGGACCAGCC